GAAATGTAGATTTGCATAATCAAATATTATGTTGTAAACGAGTTAAAATTAGTTCCTTGTTTCCAGCATTATTTTTCTTCCGGAATCACATACTGACTCGAGGAAATACTCATTCGGACTTGATTAATAATCATGATGTTAAGATAATTATTTTCATATTAATCCCTATCTTTTGGCAATAAACAGGGCTTACATACAAATTATATGTTCCTTTCTGCATTATTTCTAGGGTTTAAAAAAGATGACACTCCACATCCTGATGTGGTTCGTCCTTCAATTTCTGCTGCTGCCTTTTGCGAAACCCGCCTACGAGGTCATAAGAGACTACAAGGGTCGCGAGTGCACCAGGGAATGCTCCACGCAAAACAACGGGTACGACGGGACATTTCGTTCCAAGTTTCGTTGCAAGTCCGACAGCCCTTGCTCGAAGCACGGCCATTACTTCAAGCGGTGCTACACCGAAGGCGGGGGCTGGTACTACTGCGGGGACGTCAGATCTGACGACCATCTTGTGCTCACACAAAGGAGTACAGAACAGCCGAAATGCATTGGACAGGTACAAGGTCAACCTTGGAAATTGTGCCCGGAATGCACTAAAAAACTTCCAAACGGACAGTACCGTCTACTTTACGGTAGGAAACCAAAGAAAGAAATGGTGGAAACTAACAAGAAAGACAGACAAATAATTAACAATTTCATTGCCACCTTTAAAGAGGATGTTATACGTAGCAAGAGCTCTGGAAAGGAAAAAGGAATTATATACCCTGGCCGAGATGTTGGATGGCGTTTAGACAAGCAGGGAGATTTTCCGGTCGACGCCCAGCGCTATCTCAACCTGCAGATTCAGAAGAATGTGCTTCGGAACGACGGCAAAGGTACAACCGTGTCGCAAGTCGCGGTGTGGACGGAAGCGAGTTACTCGTCGGAGGACTTGCACGCGGCCTTCAGAATGAGTTTAGAGAAGAAGGAGAACGTCTGTTTGATTTTGGATAAAAATAGTGAAGCAATATGTCCCCTGAAGTGACGCATCAAATTGCAGGCTTGCAGTTGTAAATGGCATTCTTGATATTGGGGTATACACGCTTTCCAATAATACATTCGATCGTACCAATATAATTGTATGAATTCCCTTGGTTTTTTTAAATCATTGTAAAATGGTTTCCGTTGTGTACTCAGAACACGCAATCAGGTATATACGAGACAATGTACCGCGCGCATTTTGGGAAATGATTAATCAGGAGCAGTAAAGACTACAGATTAAATAACCTCAGGAGCAGTGAAGAAACTAAATGGAGGATAACAACACAACATCAACATGAAGAAACTGGTTTCTTGAAGTTCCTTAAAATATGGATAACAACGAAATTAATTTTTAAAATGTCGAGATTATTCACAATACAAATTTCGCTTGTACCAGCAGCCTGTCACACGCCTGGCCGTAAGAAAGCAAGAGAGAAATATCATCGACACGGTGCCAGCCCAAGGCCAAGCGGGCAGAAACCGGAGAAGAACCGAAATCGGAAGAATAGCATAAGTTCAGCCTTTGTGAAAAAATTTTGAACTCGGTGGCCCAGCGCCGGCCCGATCCCAAGCCGCTATCGTGAATTTTAGCTTCTCCCATTAGCAATATAAAAATTCGCTGCAAAATACATTCAATTACTTAATAGCTAAGCCCAAAGTAGAGACTGTCCCAGTTTCAAACGCATAAGTCTCAAACACAATAACCAGAACAGAGAGAGGAGATAGAGTGACAAACAAGCAAGCATTTCGGGAACTTACCGTAACAAGTTCCGATTAATGCTTAGATTTTTCCCTTAGCCTTTTGGTACAATGTTTGATTCCCATTTGGCCGACTGAGACCTTCCACTGACGCCAGCCGTCGGCAACAGGTGGCCCGTGGAAGCCCGCCCTCTGGCCCGGCCGTCTCGAGGCTTAATGCTTTTTAAGGAAGGTCTAACGATAAAACGGTCGTAGACGTTTTGATGCTGAGGACATTCCATCGGTTCCGAGCCGCGAAGATGCCGCCTCGTGCCATCTGTCCCCTCCCCGCCCCGCCCCGGGATTAAGCGGGGAAGATCGTTTTGGGGAGACGTCCGCATGCGATCCGTGCAGACGATGCGGAGGAAGCCCACGGCCGCATGCGGAAAGTAAGATGGAAGAGGAAGGAATGAGAGACGGCGGGAGTCACGTTTTCCCCCTTAACTGCCGTGCATACATCACATCCAGATGAGCTCCCACTTTGTCACGATGTTTGCGAGAGGCGAAAAAAAAAAAACAGGAGAGACGGAAAATAACAGGCGAAACGGAAAAAACAGGAGAGACGGAAAATAACAGGCGATGCGAAAAAAAAACAGGAGAGACGGAAAAAAACAGGCGATGTGGGAAAAAAACAGGAGAGACGGAAAAAACAGGCGATGCGGAAAAAAAACAGGAGAGACGGAAAAAAACCAGGTTCGCCGAGGATTTTTTTTCCAAGTCGCTTGGAAAAAAAACCTTCTTTAGGACCGAGACTGGGGAGGGATATTAACCGTGGTCAGTGAAGGACGAGCGCATCCATGAGAGGGAGGGATCAAATTTCAGGGAGAGTGGAAGAAGATATTTCATTTTGGAAAAGCCTCGACGGGAGATGAACCCAGACAAATCATGACGACCTCGGGGGCAACAATCTCCTACAGGCATCATCATCCGCCGAGGAAGAAATGCTTAATCCGCCCTCAAGCCGGATGAAAGTTCCAACGAGGAAAAAACGGGACACTTCCCTGCATTTCAGCTCGTCGTTGGCTCTATTCATCGGGCCATGCAAATTCTCTATTCGGTCAGAAATAAATGCAAGCAGTCTTCGGCGCGTATATTCATGCATGAAACAGCTGGTATAATTTTAAGCCACCAGAAAGTGGGACTTGTTTCTATAAAATTCGGCCGATGATATGGCTATTTCCAAATGATTGTTTCTTGGTTTTATATCAGAATTAAACCTAATATTAGCAAGGCTTTCTGTTGCTCTAAGTGCTCGGATCAGTCGCGTTTCCCGATTTACCGGAAAGCGGCACGAGTGCGAGTGCAAGTTGCTAACGCCTCAGATTTCTTCCCCTTCAACTAGTATGTGGATCGCGTCGAGGTCTATGCCTGCCCGAGCAACATCTCACTGCTAGTGTCGATGCGCCATTTCTCTTCGGTCTCGGCTAGGAAAGAATCGCCGTGAAAAAATATAAACACTTGGGACAGGAGATGCACTTGGAAAAGCATAGCGGCTCAACCCTTCCCCAACCGTTCGAGCCCATCATTTCCAAACAGCCATGGGTGGGCTCAGTTGGAAGTCGATGGAAGAGGAACCGGTGAAAAATCCTGGACAAGGTAGGAATACGAATGAGTCAAGGGGTCAGGGTGAATGATCACGTTACTATATCGAATTCTATCTCTCTTTATTTGAAAAATAAATCGGGAGATCAATGAACCAAAATGATGAGTTCAGCCTTCTGTCATTTGAATATGCCTCATCCATTCTGACCAGAGTCTCTTCTGTCGAGGGTGCAGATACCCCACTGTCAAGACTCAGGCGTATCGCAGTTCCTCGAGCATGTTATCGGGACGCACCCATAATATTTTGCATATGTTATGATTTTTAAATTAAACTTTGCTCCTCTTGACATGTTACTATTGATTGATGGAAATAAGGTCCATTGTGGAAAGTTTTTCGAACTTCGCAAAGGATATGAGACAAAGTTCGCCAATAGACAAACGTCACAGCAAAAGGAGAAAAGGGGTGACATTTTTTTCAAGACTACTCACAAATTGATCCCACTATCTGAAATTGAGGAAAACTACAAGTTCCATGTCTCCTATCACATCATTTTAACATACTCGTCCATTTTGCCTTGGATAGAGACAGATTTCTGCAATGAAACGAATCCGAAGTCAAATTTTTAAACTATGAGCCAGTATTGACGCTGGAGTTTATATGATACATTAAGTAAATATTTGGGTAGTCAGTTTTTTAGGTAACACCTGGGCTTATCTCCCATCGGCAACAGGTCACTGACTAAACTTATTTCCGGTCACTAATTGAAAAAAATATCTCGTTAAAATTTTCACCCAGCAGAAGCCAATTTTCCAGCGAAAACAATTAGGTAAGTTCTGTTGAAAAACCACCAAGACTTCCCATTACGATAAAAAAAATTTCCCTGACACAGCACCTTGCCCTCCTTGGATCCCGCGAGTACCCACAATTCGACATGTCCTTGACGCATATCTGTCCATGACCTTTGCATTTTTCCTGTTTCCGGCTCTTCATTAGCCCATGACGCTTGAGAAACTTTCTTAGAAGGATGACACCAATTTCCCTCATTGTCGTCAATAACTGCCTTGTTCGAAACCTTGCAGTCATAATAGGTGTTTTACCTTATAAAATTATGCTCTTGTGCGACGCTTTCGATACTAACAAGGATTGGTTCAAGTTTATTCCTCCATTAACTCCTGAGTACGCACGATTTATTTGGTTATAATGGTGATTCATTTTCTTATAATTACTCTCCTGTTAATTCCTGTCACTTTTAAGTAAACAGATTATTCGATAAACTGAAAGACCCATCGGGCAATTTATTGCTGAAGGTGAGGCAGTCATACCATCAGAAAAATCTGAAACATCTTGCAAACCAAGAATGGTGAAGCAAAAGAGAAGAGCTTCAGCATCAAAAGAAAATAGAGACCAATATGTATAATTTCTATGCAATGTGTTTCACAATCATACATCGGTTAAAGAAATGTACACCATTGCGTTCTGCTGGCTTTTCCATCCCTACATCACATGAACGAGTTAGCTGTGTTGGAGGTTTTATTGTTCGTTAAGAAAGGAGCCACATAAATATTGCATAGGAAATCACCGTCTATTTAATGAATTCCTTCAAAGACAAGCCTTGGCTGCAAGTGCATCCCAAGTGGCCCAGAGACTTCACTTCACAAATCCAGGAATCGGGTCGCCATCCAGGAGAGGGAGGCGAAAGGCAGCAGGAATGAACTCATGCGCGAGATGGAGGCCGGGTTGCAGTAGTTATCGGCGCATGTGCACTTGATCACTCCTTTTTTATAGTCGCAATCCCCCTCGTCGTCCGGGAATTTCTTTTCACAGTATCTTGCCGTCCAATCACCTGCAAACAAGTTACACGATCCATGTGAAATAGTTCAAGAATGGCATCGCTTCCTCTCTCATCCAAGAGTCGTCCTCTAATGCGTGTCATACGCAGAAACTAGACAAAACGTATCCTAGCGTCGGTGTTGTATACGAGAGTAGAAATCGCGTATCCAACGTTGAAGTACTTCCTCCGACTGTTGTATACACAAGAGAGAAACGCACGAAAGGAAGTTCTAGGAAATTCGTCATTACTTTCATCGTTATGGGCGAACCATCTGCGAGGAAAATATCCAGCTCCTTCTAAAAGGATACTATTTAAATGCATTTGCTGAAAATACTATTCAAGATAGCGAGTTTGTTCAATGAAAGGTTTCCATCGTGCACCGTTCCCTCAAGGACCAAGAAAAGAATCGCTTCTTACTATAATGAATCCAGAAAATATTAATAGATGAGTCTTGCGATGAAGAGCAGCTTTTGAACATTTAGAACAAGGCACTTACTTTACGAACGGTGAAGAATGCAATTTTTGTGAAATATACATTATATTTATGAATTGATATTCTTTAAGTGTATGTTCCCTTTCTGCATGCAATTTTTCTTACATATTGATAAGGAAAGGATTTCTATATAGACCTTCCCCTGATGTATTGATATCAGTAATGTGCCGAGGTGTGTCGACATTCAAATCACGATGCAGTGTCGAAGAAAGACCTTATTGCCTTGACACTGCTAAAAACCAAGCCACTCGTATGAACGTGCGAACATCCCCTTATGCTAGGGAATGGGAAATAGCTGAAATCCGAACGACGACCCACGGTTTCTCTCCTTGACGCAGACGGCCCCCTTCCCGACGGGGCAATTCATTTGGCCCGCGTTCGGGGCAGAGTAGTCTTTGATGGCACTGCATTCGGGGATGGGATTGGACCCAAACACCTCTGTGATCATGATGTTGATCTCCTGGGCTCGAGTACGGTCATGCATGTCTTTCTCGTCGGTCGGACGACAGACGTGGCATGACAATTTCGAGTCCACTCCTGCAAATATAAACAAATTAAGATGAAGAGAAACTGGAAAGTCTTCTGAGATGAATCAAAATACTGCATACAGTTCGCAAACAAAAGGGATTAGTTAACATGGAAGGTACCTTTCCTTTTGGTGAAAGACAACTACGGATCGGCTGAGGTCGAAAGATTTTCTTGATGAACATATTTTTGCCTATGATGACATGATGATTCTTTTACCGCTTGATGATTACGCAGAGGAATGGGAATAACATTTGCCAGAGTTCGAGCGTTACGTATTTAATTTATTTTTAATGTTTCATTTCAAAAACGATATCCATCCGATTCGGTTGGCTACCGTTCAGAAATATATATTATTAACATGTAACAATATTTCTCCTTCTTATGCAGCTTCATGAACAAGAACATTTAGCAACGCCTGATGATCAATCCAGCGGACAGTAGCGCTCCAAGCGGAGATGTGGTGGAAACACCAAGGGTGGCAACCCTCTACGCAACATCCCTCTCATAATACTCGTGTTGACCGAGTTAGTCTTAAAGAGTATCTCGTGCTTTTCAAAACGTTGATTCACTATTGAACATAAGTGATTTTCTATGATTTGACAAAATGCATTTAACAGTTATCATTATATTGTAAATGTATCACTTCAGAGTTATTGGTTATCCCCCAACCATTTTTCACTGAAAGTTTTACTCAGACCACCTCTTTAAAGAGGAAATTCATAATCTGACTCTTTTACATTACACACCACACATTAATTCCATTATTCCTTTCCTTCTCCTGATCCATGCGAAACGGATCTATAGGATCCACGTAGGACAAGTAGGACATCGCGCGTTATTCTTCCGTTGTATGCGGCGCTGATAAGACCCCAGCTGGAATATTGCATCCAGTTTTGGAGGCCTACAAATAAGGGCGATCTGTTGGCGCTCGAGGGAGTACAGAGGAGGGCCACAAGAATGATTAAGGAGGTTAGGGGACTATCATACGAGAAGCGTTTAGAAGTGTTGAGACTGTACTCGCTCGAACGAAGGTTAAGGAGGGGCGATCTCATCCAGGCTTTCAAGATAATTAAAGGAATAGATAATGTCGAGTGTGGTAGGTTTTTCCAGTTTGATGACAGCAAGAGAACGAGAGGTAACCGACTTAAGTTGCGCAAACCGCAGGTGCGGCTCAGGTCGAGACAGGAATTCTTTACTTGCAGAGTGGTGAACGCGTGGAATGCGTTAGATGACGAAGTAGTGGCTGCCCCTTCTGTGACTATCTTTAAGAAGAAACTGGATGCTTTCATGGACAGGCAAAAAGGAGGGGGGCAATGTTGACGTTAGATACTAGACAGTAAGCAACTAGGATAGCCAAAAAATAAATAAATAAATAAATGACAAAATATTTAGCTTTAAGAGGGTTAGGCCTACCCTAAAATTAAGGAACGCTCGACCTCGACACGTGATATCGAAATGGGCGAAATCGTCTCTTCATTTCACTATCTTGAATCTTGAATCTGGATTTCATCTGACTTCATTCGGATACTGCCTGGTACTCCTATGCGCATGCATATCTTAGATATCCTCAGAGCGGAACGGGAGGCTTCCCGTGAGGCATTACGAGGTGGAAGACCCCAGGCAGCACACCCATGTTGGGTTAACTTTGGAGGAATCCCACATTTTCGAAATGGGTCCCACCTTTGGAACCAATGTTGGTCTCACACAGGCCCGTCCAACAGCCCGACTTTGGCCCAACCGCAAACTCCACGTCTGGCAAACGTTGGAAGTCCACGTTGAGTTGAGTTGATCATCAAATCCTGACGTGCGATTTGACCTTCCAGCAATTGAATGCTTAAAGCACTCTCCTATATTTGGAGATTATTTTGACCTCCCCTACTTGGGACTTGCCACCGAGTCACTCTCAGTCTGAATGAGAGAACTCCAGTGAGTATGGTAAGTCCTGCGAATGTCAGCACTGGGGATAATCTCGGCACTTAGCAATCGTAAAAAATCTACTTCACTACTAGTCCCCTGGGCTCGGGTAAGTAAGTATTCTCAGATGGTAGGACTAATGTTAACATGTGCTTGGAACAGCCATATTTGCTTTCGCAGTTTTCTCGCAGTGGCCACTTACTCTTAAGTGCACTCGAAAATCCTGCGAAATCTTGTGATTTTGCAAAGCGTTTGAACATTCCGTTCTTCTCTTTCATATCAGGAATTGTTTTCTCAGGCTGTTGCATTTATTTTTTGCATCCGTTGTATACGACAGTGATACGAAAGTGTGCCGAGATTCCCGACCCGGTGGTGCCGTCTATATCAGCATGTGCGCCGAGAATGGCCCAAACCATCAGACCCAACTTGAGGATATCATGGGCCATGCCGAGTCTTTCAACCGCACGAGTATGATTCATAGGGAATGAATGGAATCGCATGCATTTAGAGAATTACTTCATCGTGTCTCCCTTCATACTTTAGATGTTTGCGAATATATACGAATGCACGAGGCATTAATAGTTGGAGATTTTCAATCGCCTGTAAAATGGACATGTGTTTCGCCTTCGTCTGGGTCGGATTTTGAACATTCGAAAAGACGAACCGAATACGGGAACGCAGGATGCCTTACCTAGAGAGCAATAGAAGAGGACGAGAAGGGCGCTGGCAAGCAAGCACGAACGCGTCATTCTCTCAACGAGGAACGAGAAGAGACTTTCCTGTCGTCACGCAAGTAAACTATGTTGAAGGTGGAAGGACGAAGAGTGTTTGCCTGACGGTCTCCCTCCTCTTTTATCTTCCCTTACTTGCTATGAAGCAGTGGAGTGGCGTGCGTTTCAGGTGATTCAGGATGCAAACTCTGTCAAATCCGTCTCCACCACAATCTACCTGGCCTTAGTCGAAATTCGTGTCCCAGTCAAAATTCGCGAAATTCCCGAAACTCAAGGTGAAAAAGGCATTGCAAGAGTGCAATTCGCAGGACAATATTCCATTGCGTCGGTGACCCCATGCGGCGAAGCGTCCGAATGCAATTCCATCCCTCCTCATAACTTATCTGGTACTAGTGTAAAAGCTCTTGAACGCAAGGGCTGAAATAAATAGAATGAAACCATTTCCACGCCTTTTTGCTCTCTCTCTCTTCGTCAGTTTAAATGCTTCTAGAATCTGCCTGCGAAGCAGGATTTTGTGCACGCCGTTCTGCTCTTTCATCCGCTGACTGTGACTCCAGAGCGTCTCACTTTCTTGCGCGTTCAGTACTCAGCAAATAATAATGAGAGATCCCGCATTATTAGGAGTGCATGCTTTTTCAGTGGACAGCCACACAAGGGGTGAGCGTTATCACCATGAAAGTAGGGTGAGAATGCTTACCTTGGTATCCAGCACCCATGATGGTTGCACGGCCACCCTCGGGTGCAAGTTGCCTCGCCCTCTTTTCAAGATTGCATAAGTTGTTGGTAGGCCACATACCCCCTTCGGCATCGCCCCAGGTGATATAACCATTCCCTCGGGAATTACATTAATGGTCACTAATTAATGGTCAAAACTTATTTAGTATTAAATCCGTAATTCCCCACGTGATTAACTAACCGATTCAATTGGTGTGAAGCTATCAAGTTCCTGATATCAATGTGTAATGTACTGGTACGAGTTCTGTGATGAAGTAGGGGAAGGTGGGGCAAAATGGGGCGAGGGGCAAAACGGGGCAGCCCAGATTTTAACCAAACCGGACCGGATATGTATCGGCTACTTACCCTATTATAGCCGCCCAAGACCGGTTCAATTTTTCAGGCGCAGTGACGCTTTCTGAAGTAGTTTGCAAGTACACAGAGAGTAAAATAAGTAAACGTCTACTTTTCTTACTTTGTTTCCAGTTTTTCATAAGCGAAACAAAGTGGCATGGGAACATTGGAGGCGTCCGAAATTTTTTTTCTGCTGAAGGTGAACATATGAACATGGGGGAGGGAAACTCGATCGGCCGGTCGAGTCACCCGACCTTAACCCGACCGAAAATACCTGGAAACTACTCGAAAGCGGATGCCAAAGAATCGACTCGGAACATATCGATCCCTGCTGTCGGCAATCAGACGGGAGCGGAAGGTGGACTTGGCTGTGAGACTTGTACAAAGCAGTAGAATTCTTTTTCTCAAGTCTTTCAAAGTCAGTGATTTTATATTGTAGTAATGGTCAGAATGTCCTGTGTGCACAAACTCAATAAAATAATCACTTCGTCGGCTCGACCGATGAGGTCGAGATAATATAACTTTTTTTTAGAATGATACAAATTCTGTACTAACAACCATTAACCCTAATTGAACAGTTGGTACGAAGCGAGTACCCTCAAGCCACAGAGATCTTCCTCTCTCTGCCGAAGACCGCGACAGAGAAAAAACTGGAAGCCCCAAGCACCTCACTGACCCGTTCCCACCCCCCCTCCCTCATTCCCATTACCCCCATCCTTCCCCCTTCTCCAACCCTACGAATAGAAGTTAGAACTGCCCCGCTGCATTCGACCTCATCCGGGACACCCCAACGCGCACCACCGCACACCTCTCTTTGAGTTCCTCCATCTCAAGAGTCAAGAGTCAAGAGAGTTAGTGATATCAAGAGGCGATTTTGCCCATTTCGATATCACGTGTCGAGGTCGAACGTTCCTTAATTTTAGGGTAGGCCTAACCCTCTTAAAGCTAAATATTTTGTCATTTATTTATTTATTTATTTTTTGGCTATCCTAGTTGCTTACTGTCTTGTATCTAACGTCAACATTGCCCCCCTCCTTTTTGCCTGTCCATGAAAGCATCCAGTTTCTTCTTAAAGATAGTCTTGGCGCGGAGCAGCCACTACTTCGTCATCTAACGCATTCCACGCGTTCAACACTCTGCAAATAAAGAATTCCTGTCTCGACCTTGGGGGGGGGGGGCGGGGTGGGGGGGGGGGTGGGGGGGGGGGGGGGGGTGGGGGGGTTGGGCGTGAAATGCCTCTCTCTGTTTCATTGTAGTGTTAGGGATGGTATGGAGAGGTACGACTGAACGTCTGGAGTTCGGTGGTGTATTGGTTGCTCACTGGACCGGAAATTAGGAGGCTCTGCATTCGATTCCTGGCCGCTTATAGCATCCAACTACCTCCGAGACCGCCCGATAACAGGAATGTCAGATGAGTCCCACTTACCACTATCACTTTCAGGGTTGAACCTTGTCCTTCCGTCTCACTTCCGAGAATAAGATCAGTAAAATGCTTGGGCCTCTGTGTGTGTGTCCCCATCCACGTTCGGCGCTGCTGCCCGCCTCAAGGGTCTTACTCCCTTGGTCTCGTTACGAATGTCGAATCAATTCTCGAGCATAATGTTATATGAGGGTTGGATGAGTTGGATGCTATAAGCGGCCAGGAATCGAATGCAGAGCCTCCTAATTTCCGGTCCAGTGAGCAACCAATACACCACCGAACTCCAGACGTTCAGTCGTACCTCTCCATACCATCCCTAACACTACAATGAAACAGAGAGAGGCATTTCACGCCCAACCCCCCCACCCCCCCCCCCCCCCCCACCCCCCCTCCCACCCCGCCCCCCCCCCCCTGGCCTTCCCCCCCCCCCCCCCCCCCCCCCCCCCCCCCCTCTTGACACCTATGATACGGACTTTCCCGCAGGGTCATGTAAAACATCCCCGTGTGTTACACTTGTAGTTCCCTTTCATCCCTGGAGGAAGGATATCTTCCTTGCCAGGATGAGATCTCCGCCCCTATATTTATCGGGATCCCGACCCCTTTATCGATTGGAACCCCGTACTCGTATTGATCGGCACTCTTACTAGGAGAGTGATTCCTGAGGGTGAAAAATGCAGGGATCCCGCCTGTATGGAACAAGAGAGCTTAGGATGGAAAGACGGCGTCAGCTGTGTCGTAAACATTTTGTTTCTCTAGTGAAGAGATAAAGAGTTTCTCACGCCGGAAAAAGAAATTGACTAGCTGTAATAGTAAAAATTGTACCAATCTACCAACATTTTATTTTTTTTTCAAGGTGGCAGGGGTTGGCAATTCGACACCTGGGTTTTAAATTGTTTGAAATAGCATATATTTATTTCCTAGCCGGTAAAACACTGAACATTCGAGATAAGACCTCAAACCCCAAGGTTCCCAGCAAAACTCAGGATTAGGCTGAAATTCAAATTCAACGCTCTAGTTTTGGCGAAATACAAAATGAAAAAAGCGGAAGCAATAGAAGCCCTCATTCATGCAGCAAAGTCTTCAACCAGTTCCATTCTTTAACAAATTCACCCGTTTTGCTTCATCCGTTCTAAAGGAGGCTTTCTTGAGAAAAGGTCTGACAGCTTTTGGGCCAAAAAAGAAGTAGGCGTGCATTCTTGGATGAAATTCTTCATGTCCAGATCATATAAAACATTGTTTTGCCTTGATATTTTCACATTCTGCAATTATCCTCGAACATTCTCCTCAGTTATCTCAATTATCCTCAAACCAACCTTGTTCGACAAAATTTTTGGTCGGTAAGATTTTGAGGGCAAGCTTGCACTAAAAGATTCTCCTATTATTCTGATTTGTGAGTTTGCTTGTTCTTGTGGAAATTTATTCCATCTTTAGGAGCTCTCCGTTTTCTCTTGCCATTTTTTCGAAATATGACGCCTTAGTAATAACAAGTTCAGGTTTCGATACATTTATTTGAGACTCTTTTCGGAAGCGAGGTTTATTTCGGATGTGAGGTTTATTATTAATATTTCGTCTCTCATTGGTCTCCATGCTAGCTTCTTGGCGTCCTTCTTCCTTAATTTTTTTTTAACTGTGAATTTCGGTGTTGAATAGTTTTTGTCAGGCTACCTGAGAAAGTCTGGACTCACGTCGAAAACATCTCGAGCAATTTTACTCCTTTCGCTTTCCAGGTAAAGGCCTACTCTAGATTTTTAAAATAAGTTCACGGCGTGTACCTTAGTGGGTACACTGTGGTATCTAGATTGCATGATTAATTTGCTATGCATTTAATTTTTTCCCATTGTTCCTTAACCCTTTGCGCTCATGTGTCGGACCACATCCGACACGATGTGCAGCTCGCCCTACCTGCCGCACGTACCGTTATCAACAGATGTATACGCTTTCACTGCCTCGTAGACTGAAGATTGAACAACTTCGAAGGTAAATTTCTACCACAGAAGCCCAAATATCATGATGTGAACAAAGCTTTAAAAATGATCTCACGTAACATGGACTACCCCGCTTACGAATTTGCTTTTGACGTACGAATTTCCTTTTGGCATATCTGTAGAGGAATTGCTTTTAAAAATTTTCAAACTTTATTTATTTATTGCATAGATCTGCAGATTGCAATAATAAAAAAACACTTATTTTTAATAAGTGTTTTTTTTATTTAAATTTTTTAAGGAAAGGAAAAAGCTTTCCTTATTAAAGGAAAGCTGTTTCTGCCCTAATATCTCCTCTGGTTGAGATACAAGTTTCATTCTAGCATCGTCTTAATTGTGAACTTTCCCTCTTTAAGTTGATTCCGGACGCTTTTCTCCGATGCTAACACGACAAGTTCCACTTCACAAAGCACTTGAAGTTCAGTAATCAATACCAGCACTTGCCACCACTTGAATTCGTTGTTCTATTGCATTATTCGAAAGTGCATGGTATGCCATTTCTAACGATACCGAATTTGAGATTGGCACTCAATATTTGGATGAGGTATGAATATTTTACTGCAGCAGTTGTGCCAAAACTCCACTTGCTGGAACAGTTCCGCCGACTCATTGACCTGCACTAGCCCTCGAATCCGAAGGTCCGAATCCCATTACCAAACCTTAAAAATCCTACTTTAATAATTATTTAATACCAACACGCAGTTTCTCCCAAGGGCGTAAATCACAGGAAATTAATTTGAGCTGGCTGGATATCATTATACTAAAAGTGTGAGTACAAAGGAATATTGAAAATTGTCGGGAAAAAATTGAAAAATAATATTTTGCATATACCTGTATCATGATGTTTTGAACGAAATTTTGATTCTTGTGGCAGGTTATTATTGATTGCTGGAAATAATGCCCATTGTGAAATAATTGCCGAACTTCACAACGGATATGAGGCGCAGTTCGCCATTAGGCAAACGCAGCAGCCAAAGTGGAAAAGCGGTGACATTTTTCAAGACAACTCACAAATTGATTCCACTATCAGAAATCAAGGAAAACATCAAGTTCCATGTCTCCTATCATATCATTTTAATATAATCGGCCATTTTGCCTTGGATGGTTGCCCATTTCTGCAATGAATCAAGACGAAGTTTTCCAAATGGCCTTCAACCTCTCTATACGATGATATGGACACAATATATTTTTTATACCATTGTTAGTCCTATGTGAAACATATTTCAAAAGGAAGTACAGTGAATAAATGTACACACTTAGAAACTAACAATGCGTTTACTATGGTTATTCTGCCAGCAATTGCTACGTTTATCTCCCTGAGTTCGCTCTATGTCTCGTGCAATTTTTTCATTCTTATCTCTTTAGGTTTGGACGAAATTGCACTCTTAGAATCAATCATATATTTTTTTTCCTTTCCGTTCCAAGTTACCAGTCGTGGTGTATCTCTCCATTGATATATTTTCAGGACCCATCCGCATTAACTTTTATTACATTAACTTTGTATTTTTATTTTATAAATAACTTATGTAATTTATAAAATTCTTCATCATCTGAAGAGCAACTTCCAGGGAAACATTATTTTTTCTAAGAACGAGGATATATTGTAGTGTATTGCACCAGTCTATGTTCTTTACTAATTCATTCAACTCTAATTTCTGGATTAGACACAATCATGCTTGCCATTGTTTCGGCACAGAGCAAGTCCATGTAAGACGATAAAGGGCAACTTTGACGACAATCCCACTCAGCGGGGAAGGAATATAAGATATTTAAATCATTTAGTGAAGTTCTTTCAATTTTTCCAGTACCTTTTATGAAACTCTAATTTATGGAGTCGAACGGCTTTAAAAATCTATTAGAACCATTAAAATTACCTTAACCCTTATCCGGGCAAGGTATTTTTGTGACACAAATGGGCAAGGCCAAATATTTTTAGAATTTTTTTCCTTCAAAGCAAATCCAAACTTTAAAATTCGTTTTTGAATCTATGGATGATTGTCTATGAAATCCATATTAAATTTGAAGAATATTTGGGTAAATTGCGGAGGGTAATGAAATTAAATTGACTCTGGGGGTGGTCCAATTAGCCCCAATTGCCCGGATGAAGGTTAAACTTTCAACTTTCAACTTTCTTTATAAATATGTATCAAGTCAGATAACCCAGTCCAAACGCCCTCGTACTACAGCCTCTAACGAAACTCCTGCCATAAACAGAAAATTTAAATGGTAAAATATGTGCCCGTATTGACATTGGAGTTCATGGGACACATTCAGTAAATATTTCAGTATCCATTTTTTTATGTAACACCAGGATCCTCTCGGCAGCAAGTAGTGAGCCGCTAATTTAATTTATTTCTGGGCTATACTTGAGAAAAAAATCTCATTAACATTTTCCCTCAGCTGAAGCCAATTTTCCAGCAAAAATGTAATAAGTTCTGTTGATAATCCACCTAGACTTCCCATTACGATCAATAAAATTTCCCCGTCACATGACCCTGCCCATCCTCAATCCTGTGAGCACTCACGATTCGACAGTTTCTTACCGCATAACGGTCCGCGTCCTTCGTATTTTTTCCGGTTTCCAGCTCTTGACTAGCCCCATTACGTATGAAACATTTCTTGATGACAACAAAAGATGACAACACTTTCCCTTATGTTAACCAATAGCTGTCATACCACGAATGTGTCACCAATAACCATGTTCGAAGCCTCGCAATCAAAATGGGTGTTTTATCTTATGAAATCATGCTCTTGTGCGAAACTTTCGATACTAATAAGAATTGGTTCAAGTTCATTCCTTCCTTAACGCCTGCGTATGTGTAATTTCTCCGGTTATAATGGTGATTCATTTTATGATAATTGCTCTCCTGTTAATTCCTGTCACTTCCAGGAAACAGATTATGCGATAAACCGAAAGAGCCATCAGGTAATTTATAGCTGAAGGTGAGGCAGTCATATCATCAGAAAATCTGAAATATTGTGCAAACCAAGAATGGTGTCGCAAAAGAGAAGAGCTTCAGCATGAAAAGAAAATAGAAATCAATATGTATAATTACTGTGCAATGTGTTTCACATTCATTAATCAGTTAAAGAAATATACTCGATAGCGCGCTGCAGACGCACTCCACGGCACATCAGTGAGTTAACTGAGTTGAAATATTTATTTATTGCTAATGGAGGAACCACAAAAGATTGCATAGGAAATAGACGAACTTCTTAATAAATTCGTTCAAAGACAGGACTTGACTGCACGTGCATTCCAAGTGCCCCAGAGACTCCACTTCACGCATCCAGGAATCGGGTCGCCATCCAGGAGAGGGAGGCGAAAGGCAGCAGGAATGAACTTATGCGCGAGAGGGAGGCCAGGTTGCAGTAGTTACCGGCGCATGTGCACTTGATCACACCTTTATTATAGTCGCAATCCAAGTCGTCCTCCGCGAATTTCTCTTCACAGTATCTTGCCGTCCAATCACCTGTAAACAAGTTGCACGATCCATGTGAAATTGTTCAAGAAATTACGTACAATTTACGCATCGATTCCTCCCTCTTCCAGGAGTCCAGGAGTCGTTCCATGACGCATGTCGAACAAAGAAACGAGACAAAACTCGTCCAAGCGTCGAAGTCGTGTGCAAGGGTGAAAATCGCGTTTCAAATTGAGGTACTTTCTTCGAGTGTTATATGCGCGAAAGAAATGCAAAACATGGTCGTTATGTCATTACCTCCATCGCTGTGAACAAACCAGCTCCGAGGAAAATATCCAAGTCAGTCTAACGGGATAACGTATGAATGAATTTGCTGAAAATACTCATCAAGATAGTGAGTTCGTTCGATGATAATTTTCCATCGTTCGCCGTTCCCTCAATGACCAAAAAAATGAATAGTTATTCACTACGATTTATCCACCTGCGAATCATAGAAGAATCGGGCGATGAAGAGCAGCTTCTGCGCATCCAGAACAAGCACCTACACTGCAAAAAGATGAAAACTGCAAATTTGTGATATATGCATTATATTTATTCAAAGGTCTTTCTCGAGTGTATCTTCTTTTTCCTGAATGTAATATGAGATGAGAAGAGGAATTTGTACCATGCTCTTGCCCTGCTGTACCGGAAATGTGCCAGGATATGTCGACATTCATGATATCGCGATGCTATGTCGCCTTATTGCCTTGACACCGATAAAAGCCAAGCTCCTCGTACGAACGCGTGCACGTCCCCCCGTACTAAAAAATAGGAAACGGCGGAAACGTGAACGGGTACCCACGATTTCTCTCCATGACGCAGACGGCATCCTTCAAGGGGCAACTCATCTGCCCCGCGTTCGAGGAGAAGTCCGTGATGGCGCTGCATTCGGGGATGGGGGCTCCGGGCCCGAACACCTCTGAGATCGTGATGTTGATCTGCTGCGCTCGGGTACGGTCATCCATGTCTTTCTGGTCGGTCGGACGGCAGACGTGGCACGACACTTTCGAGTCCACTCCTGCAAACAAAAACAAATTAAAATGTAGAGAAACTGGAAAGTCTTCAAAGTGGAACCAAAATACTGTATGCAGTTCGTAAAGAAAAGGGAGCAGTTAACATGTAAGGCACATTTCCTTTGGCAGGCAACAACTACGGATCGGCTTGTGGTCGAAAGATTTTCTTAATGAGCATATTTTTGTCTATGATGATTCCTATAAAGCTCTTGATCACCCGGAGGAATGGGTCGGAAACTCGCTAGAGCGAGCATTATGTTATTTTCCTCTTTAGAATGATTCATTTCAAAAAGGATACCATTCGATGTTGTGGCTACCATTCAAAAGGTATCTTCTTTAATATTTAACCGTACTTCTCCTTGGGCAGCTTCACAAGCAAAAACATTTAGCGACGGATGATGAACAATCCAGCGGAAAGTAGCGCTCCAAGCGGAGAAGGGGTGGAAGCACCAAGGGTGGGAACCCTCTACGCAACATCCCTCACGTCACAATCATGTTGACCGAGTTGCTATGAAAGGGCATCTCATGCCTTTCAAGATTTTTACTTATTATTGAACATAAGTGATTTTCCTGTAATTTGAAGGAATACATTAAAGAATGATCATTATATTTTAAATTCATCACTTTAGAGATGAGCATCGGTTATCCTGGAAACATTTTTCACTGCAATTTTTACCTCTTGCAGGTAGAATTTCACAACCTATGGTTTCACGAGTCCAATCGAACTTTCTTCTCATTACACACCTTCCATAAACTCCATTATTGCATTATTTCTTCTGATCCTTCCGAAACGGATCTGGATTTCACCTGATTTCATTCGAATACTGCCTGGTACTCCTATGCTCATGCGTTTCTTGAAGATCCTCAGAGCGGAACGGGACGCCTCCCGTGAGACATCAAAAGGTGGAAGACCCCAGGCAGCACACCCATGTTGGGTCAACTTTGGAGGAATCCCGCATTTTCGAAATGGGCCCACCTTGGGAACCAATGTTGGTATCACGCAGGCCCGTCCAACAGCCCCACTTTGGCCCAACAGTAAACTCCACGTCTGGCCAACGTTGGAAGTCCACGTTGGGTTAACATCAAATCCTGACTTGCGACGTGACTTTCCAACAATTGAATGCTTAAAGCAAGCTCCTATATTTGCAGATGATTTTGACCTCCCCTACCTGGGCCTTGCCATTCAGTCTTTCTCAGTCTGAATGGGAGAACTGCAGTGAGTACTACTAGTACTCCCACATTTTCTACTAGTACTTCCCTCGATTGTCATCCTTGGATATCTTCTCTTTCCGCATGGGATTCCAACCCCATTTATCACTCATGTTGCTCTTTTCCCGCTAATTCCTTACCAGGCTAGGTTCTTGGGTTTTCCTCTATTTTATCACACCCCCATCTGCATCTGCAGTCTTTGAGTTATGTTGAAGTTCTCCTCCAGGCCACTATATGGACTTATGGGTTTCGCTTTTCGTACATCGCAGAAAAGTGTCCTTTCCGCTTTTATGGAATCGTCTCTCAGGAGTGTTTCGTACCTCGCCATATGTCTCGTCTAGTCTCATCTCGATAGACGAGGACATTTTATCTTCTGTTATCTCCATTTTTGAGACAGTGCGTGGGCGGAGCGTTAGATTATTACTGCAGATATAAACGTTTCTAACAGGGGCTTACTTCCTCGCGGTAATGAGTTCAGAGCTAATAGGAGCCCCCAATACCATCCCAATGTCGGATTCGGTAAGAATCCTAATAATAGGTCAATATATATATTCCTTGGCATTCAATGTTAATGCAATATCGGAGTGCAACTGGAGACGTTCCCCACTCACAGCAGACGCTAGCCCAACGCGGTTTGCTGCCTGAGACCACACACTCTCCCCCCCCCTCTCGGCATATACACGAGGGAAGCAAGGCCTCTCGGGCTTGAGGATCTCAACGGCCATGCCGAGTCTTTCAACCGCATGAGTATGATTCATAGGGAATGAATGCATTCGCATGCATCTAAAGAATTACTTCATCGTGTCTCCCTTTATACTGTAGATGTTCGCGAGTATATGCGAATGCACAAGGCTTTAATAGTTACCCGTTTAAGATCTTCAATCGCCAGTGAAATGGACTGTTGTTTCGCCTTCATCTTGGTCGGATTTTGAACATCCAGAAAGACGAACCGAATACGGGAACGCAGGACGCCTTACCTGCAGAGCAATAGAAGAGGACAAGAAGGGCGCTGGCAAGCACGCACGAACGCGTCATTCTCTCAGCGGGGAACGAGAAGAGACTTTCCTGTCGTCACGCAAGTAAACTATGTTGAAGGTGGAAGGACGAAGAGTGTTTGCCTGACGGTCTCCCTCCTCTTTTATCATTTCTTATCATGCTATGTAGCAATGGAGTGGCGTGCGTTTCAGATGACTCAATGGGATTCAGGATGTAAACTGTGTAATCCGTCTCTGACCTCATCCTCCAGGCCTCGGTCGAGATTCGTGACCCACTCGTGATTCGTGGTTCACTCGTGATTCGCGACTCTCCGCGAAGTGATTCCTCGCCGTTTAGTATTTCTGGTACTATGGGAATTAGATTTTCCTCTATAAAAAAATTTCCACTTCACGTCTTCCGCAAACTGCTGCTGCCGAACGTCCGCAATCCATATCGCATTTCATTTCTTCCCATCACTGGTGAACTCCAAAAGAAAGCATTGCAAGAGGGCAATTCACAGGGCAATTCACAGGGCAATATTCCTCTGTGGCAGGGACGCCAAAGACGCCCCCAGTAGTCCAGTTTCCATTCTTCTTCAATGCCCATTTCGGATACGCGGATTGGTTCCTGAAAGATTCAGATCTCCATTTCTTACAACAGCTTCACGTGCATATTTCTGAATGAGGAACAGTTATAGTTCTCAGCTCATGTTTCAAAGAGTTCCTCGCTTCTCTCTAGTTCTTGCAGACCCAGCAAACGCATTTTCAAATAATAATAATAAAGCATTTATTTTATTCACATGCTGTCTGAAAGGGAGCGAAATAGATAAATTGCATATATGTATATTAATATATTCCACAGACCATCGGAATATCGGACCGCAAAAATGAAAACCCCTTCAAAGAAAACCCTCCCTCTTTTAAGGGATGAGGAGGGAAGGCCTCAGAGAGGCCAGAGGCTTGGGACCAGATACTTTCTTTACATTTCATTCAGTTTTTTTTTTTGAGCTTACCCAAAAAGCTTCGGAAAAAATTCGAGGGTCGGTACGAAAGTAATGCCTAATTTTTCTTCTCCAGACTCATGCATGGAAAACCAATGAGAGAGTGGGCGTGGTCAGGAGTGAAAAAAAAAACGACCTGGAAAATCGCTATTTTTAAAGAGTCGTTCCATCTTGAGCCTGGGAGTCTGTTGGACGCGATGGAAATTACATGGAAAAAACATATATATATAATTGCTTGGTCTATTCTACAGCCGAATTTCATAATTTTTGTTATTTATCGAGAAAAAAATATGTTAAGGCATTACTTTCGTACCGACCCTTGTAATTTCTGCTTACCGAGGGCAGGGTACAACAATGTCAAATATGGTTTCACGATTATTTAAATCCTGGGCCGTATTGAATTATAAATCATGTTTCATCAGATTGCTCAATGTGGCATCAGATTTCATCAGATTGCTCGATGTGGCATCAGATTTCATCAGATTGCTCAATGTGGCATCAGATTTCATCAGATTGCTCAATGTGGCATCAGATTTCATCAGATTGCTCAATGTGGCATCAGATTTCATCAGATCGTTTCGAATGCCATCAGCCGATTTCCGGATGGGGCGAGCGTTCCCGCGGCGATGGCGTGAGGCTTTCACTGATTCAGATTTCATTATTTTCTGAAAATTTTAACATTATTAATTAATATTTTTTTCAAGGAAAGACGGAACAGAAAAGTCCACTAGGTAATCCGCTCTTCACGGCCTTTCTCAGAACGCAAAAAAAAACGAAGGAAAAAAAAAAGGTTCACGTGCGAATCCGCGAACAAAGAAGCCGTGTAAATCGAGATATTACCGCATTCAACTCAGGGAACCGAACCGGGAAGTCGTCCGTGAATGCGGGAAGGGCGTGGGAGCGCCCCGACGTGGCGCGATCTTCGCCGGCTCCTCATTGGACCGCGACGACAAAGGGATTCGCCCGCACTCCTCGCCTCGGAGGCGACATCCGGCCGGCATCGCGGGGAGAGCGGCCTTCTCAGCCTTTGAGGGTGCTTGCGTCCAAGCAGGTCAGATTCTACTTTCCCTTGTCCGTCGCGATATTTACTTTTTTTAAGTATTTAATTTTTTTAAAGTACCTTTTTAAAGCTTTTTTCGCCCGTCTCTCTGTTTGTCGAAGGTCTCCGCGCGCGTATTTTTGCAAACCCAACGGCACGATTCGCGTCGTGGCCGAAGCTCGGTCGCGTCGAGCCTACGGGCGAACACGCTGACCGCTTAGGTCTCTAGGCTTCAAACCGCTGACCGCTTAGGCCTCTAGGCTTCAAACCGCTGACCGCTGGGTGCGCCTTTGAGGCAAATGGAAATGGAAAAAATCGAAATCTCGCTTGTTGAGTTTTGTTAGGGACCGTCAGAGCCACTTTTCGAGACTCGACGGTCATCGGCGTGGACAGGAAGTAGGGTCAAAGGTCACGGTTTCCACGGGTCTCTTTAGAGCCTTCCATCTTCGACATCGTTCGACGCAGAACTCTGAAATCAGTCTCATTCCCTTCCTTAAATTCGATTCGAAACAACGGCGTGATTTTCAAAATGCTCTCGAAAATCAGGCGTTTTTTGGCTCTTTCGAACTTCGGACTCGGATTATTCGGGAACGAACAGTAGAAATCAAAATTTTTTTGCACCAACCTCCAGAGACGAATGTCACGAAGAGCATTTCCAGATTACACGCCAATATATGTATAACTTTCCGATTTATAGTGATTTAATTGATGTGAAATCGGAAAACCTTTGGCGGCGAGGTTTTCCCCTGCATGCCTCCTCCTTCGCACGATCCCCAAAGCTGCGTCCGTGCATCACGTGAGGTAATGATTCGCGATTCGTATGATACTTGATTCGTCCTGCCGGGCTACCGAATGGCGGGACTTCATGTCCGACACTTGTAAATCGTAGCAGACGACGCCCTAGCACCCCCCCTCATCCCCCCCCCCCCATCCCTCCCTCACTCCCTCCCCCCCCCCCCCCCCCCCCCCCCCCCCATCCCTCCCTCACTCCCCTCCCCCCTCCCCCAACCTCTGGCAGTATCTCACTTGCATAGACTTCTCTCCCCCTCGCTTTCGCTTGTTCCGTCTCGGGATGTGAGGCGCCAGGACTCCTCCACTCATCGTTGCTTAATATTTCCTCCACGTTCGTTCTCCCTCTCTCTCTCTCTGTCTCTATAACCCGAGGCCTGCGCGGGTCGACTTTTTCAACCCGACCTCATTTGCCATCCCGTGCCTCACTCCCCACTGCACCCGATCGTCGGACCGATCGGGCCGATTAGGTCTCCAAACCTCAAAACTCGGTCCTGAGGCGTTCCAGCTCAAGTCAAATTTTAGTCACTTTCGCTGGACTTCAGGCTCCGATTTCCTTGAAAAAAATTTTGCATGCTGGCAATCAAGGCTTATGAAAAAATGCAACATTTTGGCTCTCTGGTTATACAGGATCGCGAGATATGCGGCCCCAAACTTCGCCCCCAAGAGGAAAAGTGACCTTTAGGGTTAAAGGACTAATTTTTGGTCCTAGTCGAGCTAAAAACGCGTTTTTGGACTTCAAGTAAAGCTGAGGCCATGTAGAATCGGATTATTAAAGACATTCTCTACAGCGTTTATTAGAAATTGAGTTTCCAAATTTGCAAATTTGCAAATTTGCAAATTTCCAATTGCAATTTCCAAAATTGTTAATATTGCAGAATTTTGCACGCAAATTATTAGCACTAAGAAGTATTGTAACATCACGACCTTTCGCAACATTGGCAATGGAAATTTCAGAAATAAATTTCAACAGAACGATATTCAAGGATTAGAGCGACAAGGATTGGATTGGATGACAAGGATTAGATCTTTCTCGATCAGCGCCGGAGGCAATATCGCTGTGGGAAAACTAAATAGCTAATTACTATTTAAAAATGGCTATTTTCCATTTTAAAATTGTGTATATTAATGGTTAATATAGAAATAATGTAACCACATGGGAAATAGACTTCTGGCTCAACCAGCAATACGTCCAGCGGCGTGCGATAAACTCCACGGAAATCACGTAATCACGTAAATGCCATCGCGAGGACCTTCGCATTAGCGTCACGTAAGGCCGGGGAAGACGTGCGCTTCGTGCCCGATCGTAAAAAAAAAAAATCATTCATTCTTGATGAAAGGCGAGAGTTTCGGGAGGGAATTGAAGAGAGAAAACTTTGGCCGTGAACTCTATTTCCCTCTCAAATTTTTTCCCCGTTTTTGTTTTTTTTTTCACTTTTGTTTTTTTTCGTTTTTTTTGTTTTTGTTTTTTTTTTTCTTCGTTTTTGTTTATTTGCCGATTTCTCGCTCCTCCATTCACACTTTTTTTTGTACATGTACATTTAAAGTTTAGTCTTCGTCAAAGCTGGATGTCGCATTTAATCAGAAACAAATTAGAATTTTCCACTTCAGTTTTCCAATTCGATTTCGCGCTCAAGGTTCCTTCGCAATTTGAAGCTAAACGCGCCTTTCCATCAGATTACTAAAAAAAAAAAAATTAACTCCGTAATTAGTGACGGGCGTGCTGTTTAATTATTGGTATTCGTCGCGGTTCGCTTGCGGGAAGTTCGCACGAGATAAAATAAATGAATAAAATAAATGAATAAAATAAAGGATGTGGGACGTTTATCCATTATTTCCAATCTTTCTTCGTTGATTCGAAGGAAGATTTTGCTTTTTTTTTAACTCATTGAGCACGAACGCGTTGATTTCTATATTACGGACTGAAGCATGAGGAGAAAATATATCAAATTAATTCTATTTAAAATTATTAGCGTTACTCTATAGGGTGTCCATAAATTAGCCGACGATTTCGCTACACCATTACACGACGTGATGCTCCACGTTCTCGGGCGTGTTTTTATAGTCGCGAGATCGCGAATGGAAGCGAACGTGCGTTGTGTCGCTTTTTCGCTGGAGGGGGTCGACAGACCGGCCGGGGTCGACAGACCGGTCGGGGTCGACAGACCGGTCGGGGTCGAACCTCAGTGTCGGAGAACGTTGTGGGGGCGGGGCGGCGGAGTTCCTCGAAGGTCGAGCCTGCCGTGAACTTGGCATTCCCAGAGGCATTTCCAACATGGGGCAATGTGGCCAAATATGGGGCAATGTGGGCAGTGGCAAGCATGCTGCATGAGACCCGACGACATGGCTCACAAAGCCATCGAGGAGAAAGCTTTTGCATAACTGGATGAAATGGCATAATGAGTTTCCTTTGTGGTTGTCTCAATTTTTCATGCGCAAAAGAGTTCCTTATACGGCAAGCGTGAAAGCGAGGGTGAAAACAGGATCACATTCCATGAGTGGAATAGGGATGGCATTTTGAAGGGCGAATGAAGGAAAGGGGAGGGAGGCATGTTCCCGGGCGAGAAGGCAAGGGTCTGGCACGTCCAGGCACGAGAGCCTGGAAGGGGAGGGAGGGGAGGAGGTTTGCGTGCACCGTGTCGCCTGCTCGGGCTGCTTCAGGCGAGAAAAAATAAATAAATAAAAATTAAAAATAAAAAGAAATGCGGATAGAGTTCCGTCGTTCGATAACTTCACAATGCTTTCACGGTCGTGATGAAGTTTTTAAATAAATGAATAAAAATCGGCATTGCGGAACCGATCGACAGTGGGGTGTTGGGTGATCCGTGTGCATATTTATATTATTTGGAGCTTTCAATTCATCTTTTCTTCTCTCCGCAGGAAGTCGATATGAAGCCTGCAATCTTCTTCGCCCTTTCTTTCCTCTGCATCTTCCTGGAAGAAGCGGAAGCCTGTTGCAATTTCAGGAGCATCTTGACCTGCTGCGGCTTCGGACACTGCAACATCTTCTGCTGCAACTGCGACGAGGGCTGCCTGGAGGACTGCGGGTTGCACGTCAAGGACACGCTCGCGGACGCGGCGATACTTGCGACGCTGGGGCCTTACGTGGGGAAGACCTTCAGGGGAATTTTGCAGGGGGTCCGAGGGTTCGACGTGCGGGGTATCCTGCCTTACGTCCGGCACGGTAGACGGAATGCTCCCCGGATTACCGGGATTACGGGGATTACCCGGATTACCAAGCGAGACGCGCAGCCGAAAGAGATTCACGCGGCGGCGGCCAAGTTCGACGAGATCGACGGAAACCGGGACGGCAAGATCTCCTTCGACGAAGCGCTGGAGCACCTCTCGTCGACCGGCTCCAAGACCAGGAACGAGTTGCTCGAGTCGACCGACTGGTGGGACGACATCGACACGGATCGAGACGGATTCTTGCAACCGAACGAGCTGGATCGGCGCCTCGCGTGAAATCGAGTTCAGCATCATCCACGAACTGCTTCTCGCCTTTTTTCTATCACGGTTTCACCAAAACGATAACACTTTTTACTATAACTTTACTTTTACTATATATTTAGGTTTCAAAAGTTTCATTTTTGCAATCGGAACAGACCGGCAGTGACAATTTATTTTCGCCGTACTTGCGTAAAGAATCGCATGAATAAGGCGGTGCGAAAATAAATTCCCTGAGAATAAAATTGTCAGACGTTACGAAAACATGCCGGCCGGTTTCAATTTTGCGGCACCCTCGTGCCGAGCCAGAGTCTTTCGTCCGTGTCCTTCGGAACGAAGGAAAACCTGCTGTTTCTCTCTGTCATTTGCTCCATAATCCTCTTCATTTTCGCCACATTCCCCATCCCTCGGAGTCGAGAAGAATGCACGTGAACTCCCTCGGCAGTCCCGGCCTTGCGTCCCTGTCATGCCCCGTCATGCCCTGTCATGCCCTGTCATGCCCTGTCATGCATCCTGTCCCCGTGGATCCCGAGCCGAACCCTCCATCCTCAGCAGTTGCCAGGAGTCTTTTCCTGCATTGCTTCACCGTTTTTGACGAAAGCACTGTGGTGATTCGAGTGCCTTCCCTTGTCATGTCTCTGCGGAAATGTCCGACCGAACGGGGAAACTTGGCAGCATGTCACTCCCTGATTCCACGGAGTACCAAGCCTTCTATCCGCCATCTCGGTTCTAATGTGGGGAACCTTGTGTGTTCGAATGACGGAGATAGATGGCGTTCTCAAAGATGCCGCATGTGTCGGCTGCCGCACTAGCACCAATAAAGGGCCAATATATGAGCAATCCATTGCTATATCCGCCCATGCTCCCCCACTCAAAGTCAACTTTGACCCAATATACTGCGTGCATTTCTCTCATTTTTTGTTGTTGTCGTTTCACGTTAATGTAGGTCAGGTGAAAAATATGATAGATTACTTTGGCATGATCATTACGGATTCACTGTTTAGTTCTTAGTAGTACATTTATAAGCAGGACATGATATTCCCATACGATTTCAATATGATTCCTAATTATCTTACGCCGTGCGCGAACACTGATATGCCTCCGATCCGTATACTTAAGATTGAATAGTAATTTTTAACCTTTTTATCTGTACCACTCAGTTAGTACTACATACTATTAATTTCAATTTCGGTGTTGCTCTGAAAAAAAATACTACGAAAAATGCAAAGGAGTTAAAACCATTACGAGGCGAGGAACGGGCGAGAGGGAGAGAGAGACGTTATAGAGAACTTGAAAGTGCATGACGACGCGCACGGAATGCCGATCCCTTGGCTGCCTCCAGGAATATATGAAACCGACGCGGGGGGGGGGGGGGAGAGCAGCTGCGCATGCGCGAAGTGCATTCATTCATTCGTTCCACTTTCAAGCGCATTCATTCATTCATCCATTCCTACGCGCGGGGGGCGTAGGTATGGATGTAGGATGTGGAGGAAACGCTCGGAGCCCAGAGGGATTTAAATCTTGCACCGATTCAGTCGATGGTGTTGGCGATCGTCCCGGAGTCTCTGGGCCATGTTTCGTTAAAGGTATCTTGCCACAACAGGTTGCATCGGATGCATCAGATTGCATCTGCCGATTTCTCGATGGGACGAGCGTCCACGCGACGATGACGCGAGGCTTCAACTTAGAAAACGATTTAAGATTTCAAATTCAGGAAAAAAAAGTTTATGAAGAAGAATGCTACTGGGATTCTTTCATTTTATTTTTTTCAAAGACGACCGCAACGGAGAAGTCTACCAATTTTAGAAAGTTGAACTTAAGACTCACGACAAAACGTTAGTCTTCATACTTGGGCACGAAGGAGGCACGGAGCACCGCGCTGTCACTCGGCCACAAATTTCCGCCTGCACGCCAAGAATGCGTTGAACGCTTCTCGGCATTTCCGTTTTTTTTTTTGGGTACTTATTCGCTGAATTTATTAACGTAACGTAGTAACGTAGCTTAGTAACGTAAGCGGAACTTATTAACGTATTCGCTGAATTGAGTGGAGTCACTGTCGGCGAAGAAGAGAAAAAAAAGGGGCGTCATCGGTCCATGCGAATGAATGATGACGCACAGTGTCCAACGTGGCGCTATCCGAAGTATGATATTTTTCCCCACCTACCTTAATGGAAATGAAAGGAGTTCGTTTTAAAAAGTAGAATTGTAAGTTTGTTGATTGCCAAAAGAGAATATAATCTTTATTGTCAGAGACTGATGAAACGAGATCGTGGAACATCCTCTTGCAGAGGACGATGTTTCTTCCTCCCTGCATTCATGTCAGCTGCCTTCATTTGCCTTTTACCTCCTTGAATCTTTGCTGTGGCTTTGAAGATCGCCCTGAGGAGTCAACACTGGCTTAGACGTTAGCGAGGCAGATAGAGGCGTAAAAGGAACACTAAAAGGCACGGAAGAAATAGCGGCCAAGGAACGAGGCGAAGTTCCTGGGGGGGGGGGAAATATCATACGACGCCGACTCACATCCGCAAGGGCGGAGGATTTATTTGCGTTCCCATTTTCCGCCCAGCCTCAATCATCGCCGCGAACGGCTCCTTCGCTGGCGTCTGTGAGTCTTCGGAACCTTGAGGGCGATCACGTGGGTTGGATCTTCTCATTTCCTTCGTCGTAACCGTCAGGCAAAGAACGTCATACGTTTCACTTTTCTGTTCATGTGTTTTTTTTCCCCATTTTGCCATGCTTAGTGACAAAATCCCTCACAAATATTTATAATAAAAACATGGAAAACCTTCACATTTAAATGGTGATATCACGAGCGCATCCACGAGCAAGAAAACCTTCCTCTGTCAGAGGAAAAACCAAAACGAGACATTCCCAGCTATTCAGCCCCTTTGTATTACTCGACAGGAGTAATACGAGTATTAGCTGTCCATTTTCCCCGAACTACCTTCACGATCGACACTGGGGATTCCCCGGCTTTCATTTCGGGCTTCAAAGCATCTGGCAACTAAATTCTCCTTGCCCTCTCAAAAGAGAATCGCTCCAAGAAATTTGAAGCTCCATCCTCTCGGGCTGTTGGTATGACGAGATGCTGCAAACAAGATCTCGTTTGTCGAATATGTGAATTTCATTTCCGTTTTTTTCTTCTCCCTCGTCACCTGTGGTGTTTTCGGAGGAGACTAACTCCTAACTAAACCAAAGATTTGGACCTTACGGGATATTCCCCATCCCATCGCTGGTGATACACCATTTCGCGGAGATTTATAAAATTAGTTAATGTTAGCTATTCCTAGGGCGCTATCTCTCACGCCTGCCGGATATTGCGCCAGAGTTATTTCAGATTCATAACCGTTTCCCTATTGGGGTCTTGGTCTCCTGCTTTTGATCTATGATACTTTTTTTGGCTGCGTTCACGAGATGACTAGAAACAGTGGCTATTGGCGGCCGAGGGTTGTGATTGGACGCGGACAAACCGTTTCTGAACATCCCGTGAGAAACCCCACGTAGGTGTAACGTTACGCGCCATCACCGAGACGTCAAGAAATCCTCTTAATTACATATGTCTTCTTCCTTGTCCTTGTACGTGGGAAAATATCGAGTACAAGATGAACTACGAGGGAGGCGCACCAGCAGAGATGTACCATTTCACCGGCCCATGTCCGCGTCGCGTGGAGATGGAAGGGGATTATGAAGTGTAGGATGCCAGATACGGCATTTCATGCGAACGCCAAGCAAACGTCAATGCGGTCGCGAACAGCCCCTCTCCTGTTTCCATTATGGATCCGTCATCCGCGATCACTGGAAATGCAGTGGATTTTTTATCTTGTCTCTTGACTGGCACCCCGACCCAGGTGGAAAGCAGCACATGCGCAGTGATTC